AGAAACTATTTCATAATCAAGTTAACAAACATCTCAAATCTGTTTCTACTGGTATCAGAAGTATTATTGCCCTACAATATACATGAATAATTATTCACAACAGTATACATAAAGTCATCTAGGTACCTTAAATACAAACAGATTTTGTTTGGCATATTGAAATAAACAAATAAAAATTCCTAAAAAGTAGAGAGTAGATTATATATATATATATATTACATATGTATATGCTGTATAAAGCTGTGGTTCCATATGCTATACTTTGGAAAGACAAATGGTTTTACAACCATGCCATAATGAATACTGTATTAAGCAGGGAAAAAATAAGAAAAAAAAGCACATACTTTTCCTTTTTTGAACTGTGAGTGTGGATTTCTTTCTTCATAACCTAAACTCTGCCTACTATTAGCTGCTAATGTCTGAAATGACACTCAGATGAGTATTCCTGTGCTAGCCAGCCTCCTTCCTTTAGAAGAAACATACCTGTTTATAACCAAAGCTGCATGTTATGACACATCAGTCTTGTGTTGGGTGTCAGTATCTGCCTTCCTTACCTTCTCTCAGGTGTCATCAGTAGAGCTTTAGTATTGTCTTCAACTGCTTCCAAATTATATTCATTACTTTTATCCTTCATTTAATAATTGAAGCCTATGAACGTATACCTTTACAAACTAAGAACTGTCTCTAACCAAACCTTGTAGCTTTATGAGTTAAATCATCCATGAAAAGCAGAGAATGGAAATAAGTTTAGGCCACAAAGTTGCAAAGATTTATATATGTGCTAATGTGAAGCTCTGTGAATAGTCCTGTTGACTTCAGAGGGATTACTTATAGTCCATGAAGTTAAGCCATCTGCGTAAGTGATTGCAAAATTGAAACCTTAGATAGACTGTAATTGAATTTTGAAGAAGGCTCAGAAATTGAATATACAGCTATAAATCACATGTCCTTGAAGAGTTATAAATCACAAAAAAAATGTTTGAAATATAATTATTTTTCTTAGTAGCTAGCTGTATGTGGACTAATGAATAGAATATGATTAATTTTAAATTATCACAGATCATTAAATGAAAAGCCCCGGAAGCATGTCACATAAGTCAGAAGATATGAATCTTTGAAGGCACTTACTTTCTTGTTAGAAGTCCAGCTACGATAAGTGAATTACATGTATGACATAGCGAAAGGAAGTTTATCAAATATTAAAGCCAGGTGAAGATCAAAGATAGATCCTACAAATACACCTAACAATTAGGATAGAGTGGGTTTATTACCAGCCATATTTTGCTGGATATTTGGAGAGGACGTGTACTTTGTTTTAATTAGCCATCTCTTTCACTGGATTGTTTGGCCAAAGACTCACAATAATGAAAAAAAAAATGTAGCCATTGGACAAAATGCTTGTAACAAATCTTGTTTTAAATTGAAGCTATTTATTCAGAAACCAATCTACTACTGCAGCAGTAATCAATGTGTTTTCCCTTGGAGTAGAACTGTTCTTGTGCTACTGGAGGACTATTGTTAATTGCCTGTAACTAAATGATTGCTGTGCTTCTGGATGTAACTCCCTGGCACTCACTTATTTGTTGTGTTTAACAGAATCCCTGTCTCCCCGAGGGTTAGCTGAGTAATTTTGCTCTACTATTTTCTACATTCAGCCTCAGCTCCTTAAGGAGGGCCAGGTCTATAATTTGAGCAACATAACACAGAGGCTAAATAGATTTTAAAAGGTTTGCCCTCCTCTCCCCTCTGATGTGGAATTGTGCTGAAATTGAATCTTTTTCATGTGGAGCCACTACAGGAAACTTGAGTTTCAACAGGAGAAACAGATCACACTTTAAAGGGAGTGTAATGCCTGCTGCAGCAACTGTGCTCAAATTGCAATGCAAAAGGCAGAATAAAGCAGCAGAAAAAAATATTATTGTGAAGGTAGCCTTACACTCTAACCTTGCTGTTACACTTTAACTTAGCTTTAACAGTCACTACATCATTGTTGACATTACACATCAGCAATGCCCTTGACTTTCGCAGAGCACCTCTCAGGAGTAACCCTTCCTATGAGGGAGCCAGACACACCCTCCCCAATTCAAACTGGGAAAACCGAGGCACAGACATGTGAAATGGCTTCAGTCACCCACGGGGCCAAGAGCAGAGGCCAGACCAAACCTTCTGCTCCTCATGCCTTCAGTTCAGTGCAACACAGGGCAACTGTTCACAAAATCCCTGCGTAAGCCCAAAGCCAGGCAGTGCCCTGGTGAGGCGTGGTTTAGCAATGCTGCAAGACAGGACTGAAGGCCTGGTGCAGTCAGCTTGGTGCAGCCCTGTGCCCAGGCCAATCTGACCCACCTTCCATGGCGCTGCACAGGGCAGCTGTCCCACTCCCAGCACCTTGGGGGTTAGCTCAGGCACTGCAGGGCTGGGTGCAAGGATGGAGCAGTCTGCCAGGCTAATCAGCTGCTCCTCTCTGCCTCTGGGCCCTGACCGATAGCACCCAAGACAGAACGAACATGTTCTAATAGACATTGTCCAGCACAGAGGAAAATATGAGGTTGCTATGCTAGATGGATGGAGAGTGAAACTTACTTTGCAAACAGCTATGTTTGAGAAAGAACCACCTTACCCTTGTGCTCATACGTGATCATGATAGGCTCAGCAGCAGCATATAAAAAGGCAATTTCTAGTATATTTCAGGATAACTTAGAGAATTTTGTTGTTTGCTTTGGTTGCCTAATTTAGGTCAGTTTCATGTGTGTTCAGATGGACTTTATTGAAATAAAAATACAGGCATAATATTGAATGATTTTATGGGGAAAAAGATAACTAAGAGGGACCCTTTGATATCAAAAGTGATGCAGTGCATTAGTCTGATTGCATGCACAGTGACAGAGAACAGATGACTACCTGCAGTTATTTTTTCCATTGAATCTCAAAATCATTAATTTAGTAAAAACTTCTGTTTTCCAGTTGTAACATTTTTCCTTGCCTTTAATGAGTCATAACAGCAGGCACATAAGAATATTTTGTGCCTAGCAACCTGAAATATTAAAGCCTTTCTTCTAGTAACCATTGAACAGCTGCATCACCTGTAATACAAAATGATAAACAGGGTATAGTAAGCCCATGCAGAGTAATTTCCATTTCCATTTATATTCTAAAATACTGTATTACTTGTCTACGGAAACAATTTCTTGTTGGTTGTTTTTAATAACATTCCTCTCTCTGGACCAGAAAATTATTGAAAGTCTGAAATAACCATGCTGGTCTTAAAAATATCTAACACAAAGGAGTTTCCAGCACAGTTTTGGAGAGAATGACATGGAATATAAATGCCTTTTTATTTTATTTTATTACACTTTTAGTGTCTTCTAGAGAGCAATGAAATCTTCTTACAGTTGCCTCAAAATAATAAAAAAAGAGTGTGATTCTCAGTAGACGAGGTCAAAATAAATGGAATTGTCAGTTTTTCCTCTAACCTTTTATTTCTCTAATTGAATTGTATTGTGTTTTAATAATATATCTACATAACCAAACACACAAAAAAACCCCAGATTACTTCAGGGCTACCATGCTTCACTCGGACAGAAGGTGCCCACTGGAAGATGGTACTGTGAAAATAACATAGAACTGAGCTTTTGCCAGCACATATTTTTACAAAGAAAACTGTATATCTTGGAGCACTGAAATAGGCTGCCCAGAGAGATTGTGGAGTTTCCATCTCTGGAGATGTTCAAAACCCACCTGGACACTTTCTTGTGCAACCTGGTGTAGAGGACTGCTTTGGCAGGGGGGTTGGACTAGATGATCTCCTGAGCTCCCTTCCAACGCCTGTGAATCTGTGATTCTGTCATTTCCAAGATCTGATTTCTTGGCATTTCTCAAAACTGAATGATATTGGAAAAATATGGGTGGTCTTAAGATATGCCGTTTATTTGTTAGTACAGCTCTTCCTCCTCCCAACCTTCTTTTTTAGCATTACCAGTTTTCAGTCAATAAGCAAATAAAAACTAGCAACAAAACGGATGCCATGTAACTGTGTGAGCGTCCTAGAACATGCAATGGTTAAGACTGGGGGTGGTGAAAGTCCACAACGGCGTATTACTCATGCACTGATAAGTGGCCCCACTGAGGATACTGGTGGGGCTAGACAGTTGTGGCCACATTTCACCGGAGCCCTCATCCTCAGGAATGGAGCTACATTGTTGAGGATATCAATCCATCACGTGAGTCTCCAGTGGTAGAGTGCAGTAAAGACAACAGCGGGTCATGGTCTGAATGGGAATGCCAGAATGGAGAAATTGGGATGGTTTGCTGTGATTACACATAAGCAAATCTCATGGGGGAAAAGGGGAGAACAAAGATGACTTGTGGATTGTTGGGAAACTGTTTCAAAGATATTAGCACATAACTGAGATGTGAGGCTGTGGGATTCCTTGGATAATTTGTCTTCACATCTCTCAAGTTTTGGGGTTTTTTTAATGTTTATTTTTATTTAGGGGGAAAAAAAAAATCAAATCCTTAGTGTAATCTTATCCATAGACTGAAAATCATCTTATTTGTGTGTGGAATAATGGAGGAGCTGTGTTTGTATTATAGTCTCCAAAAACAAAACATTCACCTCTGCTTTTATTTTAAGTGGAATGTCAACATTTATTTGTGTAAAGCAAACTGTAATTTATATACAGAGAGAGAAGGAAAGAGTTATCAAATAGCTCTTACATATATGCACACACTCACATGCACACACATGCCCAGCAATTTTTTTTTTTTTTAAATAAGCAATTAGCATGGTGTACCAGAGAAAAAACTATTTTATTAAAGGAAAAAATCGCAAACAAAACCCCCTATTAATTAATTATTTCTTCAAGAACCCCATAATGAAATAAATACATAAATAACCCATCATTCATTATTTTATTTTAATGTTTAACCTAAGTGCAAGTTCTGCTGCTAATTTTTCTCTGGTTTGGAATGTGGAAGTTACTGCGTTTTGTAATTCTTTGCAGAGCTGATGTACACAGTTGAGCTTGCTGGTGGGCTTGGTGCTATCCTGCTGCTGCTTGTTTGTTTAGTGACTATCTACAAGTGTTACAAGATAGAGATTATGCTCTTCTACAGGAATCATTTTGGAGCTGAAGAACTAGATGGAGGTAAGGCAGCTTTGTAGTGCATTTCCTACTTTCTAAGTATGCCCGTCTTTCATTTCTCTCCACCAAGGCCCAAATATCATTTCAGTTTGAGATGTGTTAACAACTGCAATTTTTATTTCTCACTGCATTAGGCACTGGCTTGAATATGCATTCCTCATACAGCACATTAGCAGCAGTGATTGTTGAGCTGATGTACATGCTGCTCTCTGGAGCTCCAGAAGACACCCACCTCTTTTAGATTTTTATTTCTGAGACTGAATGTGAATTACCAACATTGATGCAATAAAGATTTTCACTTTCTCTCACTACTGGAAGCCAGCTTCACTGCTCCATGAGCTAAGGGTTGTCTTCCCTAACTGTATTCACCAAACAGGTAGAGGTTGAAGTGAATCTCAATTTACTGCTTGTTTACACTGATCAGTTTCAATAAACTGTACCGAGTGTTTGGGAATGCACCCAGAAGTTCATTTTCTTGAGTTCATTTACATAATCATTGAATGAGTGGCTAATGGTCATTAAAGTTGTTCTGTGATTCAAGGACATCCAGTCTAAACAAAAGTAATCTGCAATGTATGCACTGGCTTGTGTCAAATGTATACATGCATTTTCTTTTCTTCTCTCTCTAGGCACTGAAGTAAAAGACCTTCTTCACCTCTAGCCCTACTAATCAAAACTGCTGCTGAACAGCAAACTGGGTTGAGCTGCAGACTCTGATTAATTAGGTTTTGTTTCTTGGGTCAGAGTTCCTGTTGTTTTATGCTACCACTACAGCTTTGGTGACAGGATCTTCTTTTTTACTGAAATACTAATAAAAGTTATTTTACAGTTCAAGGTAATAGCCCGTGGGCAGAACCCACTGTGACATATTAAAATAAATGCGTACTGATAATCAAATGCTGGCCAAATCTGTCACTGATAAGGAAGAAGAGCAGCAGAAAAATTAGAGATCCTTATATAAGGGAAAGAATTCCATAATAAGATCACTAGGGAATGACCCACTTCTGCCTCCTATGTAAAAATGCAGAAGGTTTTGAAATAGAAAATGCTCAGAACAACAAGCTCGAGAACATTAGAACATTTGTGTCCTTCTACTGGATTTACAAAAAGGAGGCATTAATATAGCAGCTCAGAGGGGGAAAAAAACCAGGTTATTCTACTTATATAACAGAGGAGGAAACTGAGGCCCAGAGGGACTGTGACTCACGGAGGATTTTGGAAGGCACTTTTTTTTTTTTTTTTCAGGAGCTGAGATCCTCTCTTCTCCACAAAGCAGCCCCCAGTGTAAATGGGCAGGCTTACTTGCATGAACTGTGTGACTTTAATAATAGTCATATTATGCAGAATAGGCAGTTGAATTAGTAATTGTTTAAAAAGATGCAATTTAATATTTTCTCTTTCAGTATCAGTAATTCTTACTTTTACAGCTGTTATTTATTGTTATGTCAAATCCTTCCAATTCATTTGCAAACTTACTCCACCAGGTGTTAGACGCTTGTGTCTGTCTCCTCCCATCTCAAACATTGGTCACCTGGGAACAACTTTACTTTACTCACACATTGGAAAACCAATATCCACTCAGTTTATCCTTCTAAGTAAAGTTCATTGTTAAAGAAGAAAAGGCATGGATTCTCTTAGAACATCCATGCAAACACTGATAGCTTGGGTGTTTAACCACAGTAATATAAGAAGAAAAATGCTACTTACAGATTCCTAATGAAAACCTGTAGTTTCTATTGTATTAATTATACTAGCAACATGGATAAGACCCATTGTACCAGTGAAGTTATTACAGCTGGACTTTTTAATCTCCTTCACTTACACTCTTGAAAGAAGACAGAGAGAAAATTCCCCACGGAAGACCAAGCCACAGCTTGTGCAGAAATAAATTTCAGGCATACATTCAGATCCTTTCTTTTTGCTTAGTTTGTTACTGACAGACACGAAATGCTGATCTCTAAAATCTTCTAACTGCATCTCCTGCAGTACAACTGCAGAGCACCCACGTGCTATTCATAATTTACATCATGTTCTATCATACTTTGGGACAGCATGTAGATAAGCAAACATCAAAATATCGGAGCCTTTTTTGTGTGCACTGTATTGTACCCAGAGAAGATTTGAAACACTTTAAAAGTGAGGTCCAATTAAAATTTTCAGTTTAAAATGTCTTTTGAAATGCAACGCTTCATTTCTTCCCTGATCAGAGAACAAGCCCTTCAGGATGTCAAATCTCATCACAATTCCTTTTTCCATTCTAAGCCTTAGACACATCAGTTTTTCTCAGGCTAACAGACACTTTTCTATGGGAGGCATGGGTAAATTGTGAGAAATATTTGAAAACAAAGCATTTAACCCTTGCAGCTCATGCAGCTTAATTTGTTACTTTCTGTAGAAGTACTGCAGATGAAGGAAGTGATCGCGGCTGTTGATTCCTCATTTCTCTAACTTGCAGCTTTGAATTTCCCTTCTTCTCTCTCATCCTGGAGACTAGATTCTCCTACTGTTTGTTTGGGTTTTTTTTTCTCTCTCCTGCAAACACTTTACCTCAGTCTCGCATTTATTGTCTCCTGGGAATGGTCGTTGAACTATCCTTTTTTTTTTTTTTTCAGAGTTAATTCCCTGCATTTCCTACTAAATTGGAATATAATAAAATCTAGCTCACATGTTACCACTTTTCCTCCCACTCTGTGCCCATGCTTTGCAGCTGCCTGGGAGCTGATTCCACAGCGGGGGGCTACGTGACAGACACTGTGTTGTATCCTTCAGTGTGGAGCAACGTGACATGCTAGTGTACAGTCAGGGGACCTCACAGTGAATGTCTGACAGATCCCCTGGGAGCTGGAGCACAGGGGCAAGAAAAGCTCTCTGACCCTTAGCAAAACAGTAGCTTTCTCACCTGCAGGTGTTTGGCATGACCTTGTGTCTCAGAGATATAACTCACTCCTAACAGTTTGGTGGTCAGAAGCTCCCAAATCTGTTTAAGTGGAGAATTTCACTTCCAGATCTCGCTACAAAATGAAGATGATACCTTGAAGAAATAAATGCCCAGTATTATTCTGAAAACAACAAAATTTTTGTAGATACTCCACTTCTGAGAGCTGATCATTGTTAAATATCAGGCAGTCTTTTTAGGTTTGCAGCTCTAAACTTAAATTTAAAAGCTTATTTTAAAAAGCCTTGCCCGTGAAGTGCACTTTAAGGCCTAACCTCTTATTAATAAAAGTCACTTTTAGAAGTTATTATTTCTTCTATTTTGTTGTACATTGAGCTCCAATACAAGAGCTTTTATACCACATTCATCCTCTGAGGAGTGTTTTAGCAGTTACTGTTTATGTATTTTATTTTCCAAGGGTCTTCTCTTGCTGCCTTTCCCAGGTTTTAAATGACTCAGTGAACAAAATATGTATTGTACTTTAACTAACAGAGAAGAGTTAAAATGCAACTAAATATTTACAAGCACCTGTGCTCAACACATGCCCTGACATCTTTCTACCTTGCACTCTGTGACCTTAAAAGGCTATTTGTATCAGAAAAAGATATTACCACTGTATAGAAATCTTCTCTTTGCCTACGTATGAGCTGGCTTTTAGGCCTCCTAAAAACTAAGGAAATTTCCCCAGGATTTTACTGGGGACAACTTTCTCCTTTTTGAAGCTGCTCCTGCTCATTAAGGTGTGCAAGGATCAGTCCCCAGGCATGAGAGACACAGCCAGGGTGGAGAGGGGGACTCGAACCACTTCTCTAAGAAGCACCACTTGATGCTGCTTTAAAGGGCCCAGGAGGCTCAAAGTCACCAAAATAACTATTTTCAACATTTTCTTGCCATTTTAAGACCTGAGAGTTTCCAGTGAATGTGCAGATGTCTGAATGCCAGCTTTGAGGTATTCTCAGAATAAATTCAGAAGTCTACAGACAGGCTGAAAACCATTTGACGTGGTCAGATAAACGAAATTACTCAAAATCATGAATTTATATATGTGTTCATATTCTGGATTCCAGTTTCAGAGAAAAAAAAGTGTATGGTAGCATTAGCAGAAGAAACAGTCTGCAGGCTCTAGCCCCTACCATTACCTGGGTACATTAGTAACCATTTAAATTGGTGGAAGCTTTTGTATGAAATAATTAATAAGCAAGGGGTGAACATTATCATAAAAAGAAGGCATTTTAAGAGGTTGACATTAAACTACATAAGAATAAAAAAGCAGCAATTAAAGAGAAATTCAGAACAAATGTACTGTAAAGAGTTTTATAATGAATTTTACATAAATTTCCTTTCTCACAGCTAGGCTGAAGAGAAGTCAAGCTTTAGGCTCAGGAACAAAAAACAAACAAAAAAGAACCTAACAAAAAAAGCCACAACTGTAGCCAGCTGATAACTAGAAAGTGAGAGCTTTGCTTAGCAGCTGATGACCCTTGCTGCCTAGTGGGTCTTACCCACTACTTCTACAATGTTGGACAGGAGCTCTCTGTGGTGTCTTTGATCTTATTCTCAGTTTTCCTTGCCAAAGAAACCTTGGTGAATTGAGAGAAGACACAACCTCTGTGCATCTGGGCTGCAGGCAGGGAAGGTACCCGGAAGCCAGGACGGGGGAGTTCCTCGGGGTTTCTCTTTCAGTTCTCTAGGTTGCTGTTTGTTTTTTGTTTTTTTTCCCCTCACATTGCTGAAAAAACACAAAGTGCTCCTAATGTGATTAAAATGTGTCACTGCTGAGCTTTTTTAATTCAGGAAATCTTGTTTGGATTTGGTCCATGACATCTATAGTGGCTGTTTCTTGGCTGCCTGGTTACACTTTCTTAAGACATGAGTTTCTACTGTTTGCTGAGGGGAAGCAAATCAATGCTCAAATTAGGATATTGATGAGACAGTTTCTGTTTTGAAGTCTCTGTTTCACCTGAGAGTCCTTAGGTAATCAAGATTTTTGTTCCTTGCTATTATTTAGCTGCAAAAGACTAGCAGAGTTCATGGACAGATCTATGGGATTGCCCAGATTATACCTTCT